TAAAATACTTGTTATCTCAAGGTCTTGAGTAAACTCTAAATCGCTTGAATACTTGTGAATTTGAGTACAAGCTCAACAAATACTTGAGCTCAAATTTTTAAAGTGAGCTTGAGTTTGAATACCTAAGTACTCGATTGAACTCGTTAACAACCTTAGTCCTGCATTTCGAGAAGGAAGGAAGAGACACTAATGTATTAATTTGTAATAGTTATCCATAATTAGGTTCAAACAATGATAGGAGAATTAAATAAGCTTCTAACTCCTAAGCAATGGTGAGATTTTTTTTTCATTATTTTTATGCATCTTGTCTTCAATTATGTTCAGTTATTAATGAAATCAATTGAATATTTTAGGTGGTGTTCCCTAATTTAAAGGAGCTTTTTATCTCCCAGATGGGGAGCTTGATCAAGATATGGGATGAACAACTTGATGAAGATTCCTTCCACAAACTATATCTCCTCCATGTAAATCATTGTGAAAAACTATTGACCATTTTTCCAATTAATATGGTAGGGAAGCTACAAAACCTAGGCGAGATGCAGATATGTGGTTGTGAGTCACTAGAAGAAATTTTGGAACCTCAAGGATTAGATGCTGGTGAATCAGAAGCACAAATAACTGCTCAATCAGCTTTGGTGGAAACAACTCCCAATTTTGTATTTCCAAAAGTAAAATCTTTGGATCTTCGGTGGCTACCCAATCTCAAGAGTTTCTACACTCAAATACATACTACAGAATGGCCATCATTGAAAAAATTGGACATGACTGGATGTGATAAAGTGCAGATACTAGCTTCAGAAATTCTGAGAACAAGTGGAGAGAACCAACTTGAAATCCAAACTGAACACCCTCTGTTCTGGGTCAATAAGGTATAAACATCTATGACATTTTAAATTGAATATCTTTTACTAATGTATAATTAAAATGTAAACGAAAAAATTGAAAGATACGAGAATTTACTCAATAGCATTAGGGTTTTCGAATCTCAATTTTGCCAAATGAGCAGGGGATTTACTTTAGATACACATTTCATCCTTCTAGGTGTGTACTTTTTCAATTCTTTTGTTAATTTTCAGGCTACATTCCCCAATCTTGAAGAATTGATAGTGGAACAGAATGGTGACCTGAAAGAGATATGGCATGGTGATGATGATGTCAGGAATGACATTATTTTTACCAAACTGAAGTCTTTGCAACTTAAATGTCTTCCAAGACTAGCAAGCTTCTGCTTAGGGAATTGCAACTTTGAATTCTCATCTTTGAAAGATGTAATTGTGATGGGGTGTCCAAATATGATGACTTTCACTGGGGGAGAAGTAAGTACACCTAACCTGCAGAAAGTAAAATTCACAGAAGATGAATGTGTAGAATGTTGGGAAGGTGGCCTTAACCCCACACTGCAACAGCTGTTTACGGAAAAGGTATCCACTAATTCAAAAGATACACTTATATTTTTCATTGTTAAAGCTTTATTTCCTTCTACTTGATTGTCCTGTTGCAGGCATGATCAAATAAACATGGCAGATGATAACAGTAAATTCCATTGATTATTTTTAGTTTGAAAACTTTTTCCTGCAATGTTGTGCCTCAAGTGCTGATGGCAACTCACTAAAGAAGACTCATGACTAAACTTATCCTTTACAAAAGCTTGGCTTAGGTTAATAGCCCTTTGTTAGTCATGTCATTAAATGCAAGCTAGAAGCTACTGTTTCCTTTTTTTGTTTTTTCATTTTTTCCTCTATGAATTTATTTGGATTTCTTGTGTAATAACTAGCAATATGTTGAATTTTGTAGGTTGGATATGCTGTGGTAGAGCATCTGACTCTCTCGCAGTTTCTTGAGTTGATGGGAATAAGGAGCAAGAAACCTCAAGAGATCTTGAGTTTCAGATGGCTTTGCTCTCTAGAAATTTGTAATTGTGGTGACTTGAGATACTTGCTGACTCTTTCCATGGCACTGAGCGTTGTTTCTCTCAAAAAGATGAAAGTACAAAACTGTGAACTGCTGGAGCAAGTCATCTCAGAAGAAGGGGCCAACTTGAAGGACAGCATTGTTTTCACCAAACTGAATTCTTTGGAGCTTAAAGGTTTGCCGAGACTTGAAGGCTTCTGTTTGGGTAATTGCAACTTTGAATTCACATCTTTGGAAGATGTAATTGTGATGACATGTCCATATATGATGACTTTCGCTGGGGGAGAAGTAAGTACACCAAAACTGCATAAAGTGAAATTAACGGGAGATGATGAAGATGAAGGATGTTGGGAAGGTGGTCTTAACCCTACAGTACAGCTTTTGTTCACGAAAAGGTATTCATTTGCTCAAAGGATTTCCTTTTGTTTTCATTTTTTGTAGTTCTCTTGCGATCAAATCAAATAAGCTGCAAGGTTGTGGTAACTTCATAAATTTTAATGTTGAAGATTTTCTTGCAATTTTTGCTTTCCTCCTTTAAAACGTTCCTTCTGACCTGCAGAGTGTTGGTGACTCTAAAGAAGATTGAAATTTATGCTTTGTAAAAGCTGGTGTTGGTTTGATTTTCAATATGGTGAGTGGATTCTCTGATTCCATCAACTTTACTTTTCTGATATTTCCCATAAGGATACATCTCTTATACAATCTCTACATGTTTCTGATGTCTTCTTACTGACAGGTCATATGGCTCTGGATTTTAGTGGCTGCAAGTTGCAAATTTTCTTAGCACCTATAATGTTATTTAGATTTCTAAAACTAGTCGTCAGAGTTTTTGAACTTCTTGTGTGACTTTGTGTTGTTAGTATTTAATTTCATGTCCTGGTTTGGTATTGTGGTGTTAAGGACAATATTTAAACCTTGTGTTATCAGAACATATGTATCTCGATACAGAAAACGTGGTGTGTCTAAACTTTGGGATTGTAGCCTCTAGACATTTTTTTTCCTTTTGCTGGCTTGGTTTTGAACATGATGTTGCAACAAGATTTCATATGAATCGAGCTATACATTGTCTTATGCACCTTAGTTGTAGTTTCTTGACATTCGCAAATCCTGATGTTGTTTGGGTTCTGCTGGTAAGGATTATGAATTTCCATTGTGGGAATTTTACAGAAAGCAATTTAGACTGCCAAAAAAGGGGAGCAACACTAAGGTTTGACCGGGTTAGTAGTTGAATAATAAATAAAACGTCGTAATTTTTTCAACGAATACTTATTTTTTAATAATTAGTTTGATTCTTATCTTGACAAACTATTACAGAAACAAAAAATGCCTTACAATCACATCTTATTTTATTGGTCGCCAAAATTGTATTGTAAAATAGTTATTTTTTGATATATAATACAAAATTAGTATTTAGCAATTGAATTTGTAAAAAAATTTAGTAAAAGAAATTTAATATTGTGATATTGTAATAATACTACTAGAAAAAAATAAAATAATATAA